GTGTACTCATTTTCTGTGCATAAAGTGAATAAATAGAAACTGACCCATCATGAAGTATGTACATAGTTATGTACATAGCATGTACGCGTTTTTCACAGCGATTCAATAAAAGATGAAAGCTCGATTCTATGAAAAAATTAAAGCTATGCGACACGTCCCGGGTGAGGAGGGACGGAGGAGGATTAGAGTGCACATTATGAACATGGAATGGCCACTATAAAAATTCGGTTTAACTTTTTCACCCTCTCGAAAGCTTTCCTTTCCAGCGTTGTAAAAATAATTGCTAGCAGGAAAGAGGTTGTTTTTGGATGATAGTTGTTAAAAAAACTCAAAATAGATTGCCTGGATGGTAGAAATATATTTCAAAATACACATCCATATATCTCCAGAAATGCCGTTCAGGACACAGAAAGTTAGATAGGTCATAATAATAATAATAATAATAATAATAATAATAATAATTATAATAACAATGTCAATAATAATAATAATCAATACCTTTTTTTATTTGTAATAGCATTACAGGAGGCGAGGTTTAGATACTATATCTATTCCACCAACTAACCCGCTTAACAATACGAAATGTATCCAAACTACATTTTTTCAAAAATCAATGTCTGTATACAATAACGGTAATAATAAAGCATGGTTAATGTAATATTAAAGCCATGAGTATATCCTCGACGTACGTTCTTGACTAAGAACCCTATGAGACAGTCTTCCATCCATTTGAGATCATTAATGGCCTTTGATATATGACATTTTCTGAGAGTATTCACAAGCCTGCACATGTATTAATAATACTTTGGATATGATTTATTGTTATAACATCTAAATAGGAATAGTAAAACCAGTAAGCGATACAATATTTTTGAAAACGAGTAAGATTCAGACAATTGCCATCTCGCAGATATATGCATATAAAACTCTGATAGTAGTATTCTACTACATCCTCTATTGATACAGGATTTTGAGGTTGTGGTTAGGAAATCAAAAAAGAAGTTAGGTGCTCTAAGCTTTGAACAGGGTAAATAATATACATAAGTTTTATCCCCCAAGATAAACTAGGAACGCGAAAACTGGACTACATTGATGCATGAAAAATAGAAAGAATTTTTTTGACCCCACTACCTTTTTTACTTCTCCCTCCAAATGGCGAGGAAGTATTATTATTGCGACAATCGTCGAAAATGGGATACAATATGAAAAATCATCTCCATCAAACAGCAACAATGGCGGAATACTTGACATTGAAAATTGTGAAAAACCTGAAAATTCCTGATGTTGCGTCATTGTCAAAAAATAATTTTCCACAAATATGGTGTATCAGTAACAAGTTGTATTTGAACAACTCTTAAGGCCGCATTTTAACCTTCATCTGGAAAGTCAAATTTTTAACTGGCCCATACAAAATAAATTATGTTCTATGAACTTTTTGAAATATCATTGATGTAAGTGTAATGGTGTCTATCCCCCAAGAAGATATTACTACTCATTATTATCGAATAGATTTGATGTCGCTTCTTTGGAGGAGCGTAGAGAGCAGACGTCGATCAATATTTATGTACAAATTACGACATGGTAACATCGACTGTCCTGTTTTGCTATGGTAAATTGATTTCCCAGTACCTAGCTTGACATCCAAAGATGAAGTTTCCTTTTTCTGTAAAGGTGGCACAGACACGACTGCAAGCTTGTCCAGCATGCTTGTTCAATTTTTTTGTACAAGCACGATTGAATGTCTGTAGGGAAATGTTGAAGCTTGTACAAGTTGCGTCCGTTGATGATCGTATCCTGCTTTTGGATCAATGGTGATACAAAAGACAAAAGGTTTAAATGCGTCTCTCCATCCATTCTAAGATAATTCTGTCAGTCACGCGAATATATTTTCAGCTCAGTAAGTTAATATGAAAATAGGTTTTCCTTTTCATCAATCATTCTTTATTCAGGATCTTTTTTCCTTCACAAGAACAAAAGCTGCCAAAGCGTACGTGTGATGCCAAAGTCAGTTATGTATACTTGTACAAAAAGATTGCATAAGCATGCTGCACAAGCTTGCAGTTTGTTTCTGTAGCCACCTTAAGAAGGCACAGTTAGTTAGATCTTGTGTCTAAAGCACCAATAAACCTTATGTATAATAATGCGACGAGGATTGGGAGTTTTTGTTATATCTTCTGTTGTAGATTTTAGGAATAAGAAGCGCTATACGTTCACATCTTTGACTTTCCTTACCCCTCTCTGTAGACGTTTTCGTTTGTAATATATTTATGTGTGAACATTACATGATGTAGCTATATATTCTTATTTGCATTTATCAGTTAGTCATATTCGTAGATTTTTTCTCTTTGCTTAAAGCACCTTCTCTTTTTTGTTTCTTTTCCACTTTAAGGCACACAGACTGTGTAAATTAAATCATGTATTCTCTCTACATGGTAACTGTACCGTCGGGCAATATATGCTTTATTATTATCATTATTATTATTATTGCCACCATATTTATTCAATAAAAAGATTTGGAAGTATCTTAAATAACTGACATTCATTATTTTTTTGTTGTATTGAACTTCCTTCAAATAATCTTTTGGCACTAAAATGAGATCGTATTATGACTACTTATAACGCGAAGGTATCTTCACTGAGATCCTTTAGATTCAAAATTAGAGTATATAAAGACAACATTTAATTTATTTTACTTGAATTGAAGCGTAGGCTGTCCCTTTTTAGTGTCCATAAAAAATATTAGCTTGTATTTTCAATGCCGTTTCCTGATGACAAATCTAGATTGGAACTAAGTGCTCAATGAAATAAAAAGCGAAATGAAATAAATCAAATTAACACACAACTGTCCTGGTTATTCCCTATTTTGAGGTACATGCCCTTCCGCAACGCCGGTGACTATGATACATAACAATTGTCGATACAGGATTTGCTCTTATTCAGTTTAAACCAACCTTTGTAATCTACAGAAACCTCCTCCACCTCTGGCAACTGACTGGAATACTAGAATTGTATGCAACTCACCCACTTTTTTATGTTTACGAATTAATGTGATATGTCCCAAATGGCGTCTTAAGCCTTATGAACTATAGTATCAATTTGCATCCTAACTACTGATTACATAATTTTATACATAGTCCGAATTTGTTGCTCTCTAAATTTATGTCAAGATTAAGATACCCCCGTTTCACAATTAGTCAAAACTTAAATCTACTCTACTTGAATCAGTGTGTTTAGCTTAACTATATCACACGATACATCTTATGGCAAATTGCTGCTTTGTACTATTTTTTTATCCTGGAAGAAGTTGGAAGTGTAAACATGAAAATTGTCAATTTCTCCACAACCAATAAATTTATGAATAAATTGCCAGGCTAGAGCTTGTTCCAATTTTCTGTCAGATTTCTGGGGAATTCTAGTTAATTTCGGTACTTTTTCCTAGACATCAACTTTTGTTTATTGTCGGGTTCATGTTTTGTGATTTTACACTTTACAGAATGTAAGTATACCCGTCATCTTTTTATTGATTAGGCTCATATACATAGGTTATGTATTGGTATCTTTCATTAAGATTAGTAGGGGAAGTCGCCTAAATCGTACCATTTTTCGGAAAAATGTATAGTAAGCTAACATTTTCAATATTAAGGGGCTCCTTTTATTTTAAATATTTAACTAAATGATTTTTACATATTTCTACTTTCTTTTGTTATGGCTACTTATCTAATTTAAGAGAAAATACATTTTTTATAAACATTGCAAATGGTACGACTTGGGAAACCAGATGCCAAATCGTACCACTAGGTTTCCTAAATCGTACTGATCTGCTATATCGTACCACTTAAGTATGGTAGCATAACAGTAGTATTTAAACAGGAATACAAATTTTAATATTTTATATTTAAAAAACGAAACAGGACAAGCAATAATAACTAGTTGTGTTATTTAGGAACAACTGTCACAAAAGTACGAAGAACTTGCTACTATTTCTACCACTACGTCATTTGAACCATACGAAGCATTTTTACTTTTTTTTCGGTTGGCCATTGGCTATTCCTATTTTTCTTTTTGCCAGTCTCTTTTCTTTTCTTCGATAGTAGATTGCTTTAGTTTCAATTCGTCGTTATGTGGGGTTGAAGTTATACTTTTGCTGCTTGTGCACGTTTACTTGCATTTTTCTGATTGCCAGGACTATTTGCAATTGGTAGATGTCTTCGAAAGAAACATCGGGTGCTTGAGATTCAGAGGTGGCGCACGATTTCTGTTTTTCAACTAAAAGCGCCAAGGGCACATCATCATCACTCGAAGGTGTATCGTCAGCGCCCCTTGCTTTCCGCTAGTGCTTTTTGTTTTGGTTCAGTTTGAAGAACATCTCCGCCTTCAAAATCAAACATCTGTGAAAACGTTTCTATCCACAGGCCATATACCACATTTTTTAAATCCACTTATGGCATTTGCGACACATGCTCCTTTTCCATATCCTTCTCCGATTAATCGGGCCACCTGAAATTGACCGATTGTCCTTCCCGGGATGTTCTCTCAACCATTTTTCAACCGATTGGTCATAATAGACCTGGAAGGGCTTAAATACTGCCCCATCAAGTGGTTGTAAACAGTGGGTGGTATGACCCTGGCAGCTGTAAAATAATAACCCCATTCTCGCGGCCATCTAAAACCAAAGCACTCTATCCTCTTTTGAAGGTTTAACTGCAGCAATGAAATGTTTTAACCAAGTAACAAACAAATCGCGTTAGTGTATCCGATATTTCGACCAGTGATCCTGGGGGAGCTCCATCTGCCGCTCTGGCGCCATCCTTTTCTCTTGAAAATTACCATTGGTGCCACGTTTTGACCTGCAAGCACTTGCGCAGCATACGAATGTAGTATTCACACCTCTTTCGCCGCTAGCTATGACACCAACCTACGATTTTCTTTTTTTAGCCAGCAACTTTCTGACAGATAGTGAAAGCATGATCATCAACAAGTTTTTCTAAAATATTGAAAAACTCCTGAACCTTGCTTCTGTTGAAACCTTTACATCGTGCGATCGAAGTTGATTCTGGTTGTCTCAAGGAAAGTTGTGGATGGCGACTCATAAAGCTATAAAACCATTTTTTTTCCAGCCATCCTTGTGGTTTTATTAAAATTATGTTTAAGACCATTGCGTTCAGCGAATTCAAAGGCAGCCTTTCTTAGTTCTCGAATAGTCACTCCAAAAAAATTGACTCTAGTGTTAAAATATGCTTTCCAAGTCGTCCTCCATCTCCTCAGAAAAAGAACAGGATCGACCTATTATTTTTTTGATTCATTGGCTCTAACATTATAGGACTTTAAATGCCTCCTAAATATTGGCTTTGGGATATTGGGGACAAACCTCATTAAAACCTATGTTTCCCTCACGAAAAAACATTTAAGGCTGCTTTCATGTCCGCTTCAGACCACTGTCCGTACTTTCTCATTTCATTTGGCTCTCCCATTATCTATAAAAAAAAATAAAAAAGTAAAAAAAACTGTTACTACATAGCTTCCGTAATCGTACCAGTATAAATTGCCTTAATCGTACCGGTACGATTTAGGCAATCTCTAATGGTACGATCAAGGCAACTTTGCACCAAATAAATAAAGATAAAGTTTTTCTGGAAATTATAGAAATAAGGTTATGTTTAAAAGTTATCAAAAAGTGTATAAAAGTTGTTAATCTTAAAGGCATACAGTAGATATTAGGTTTAGTCAACTAAAATATCCAAAACTACTTACGGTAGGTCAACCAGACTTTATATCACTTTGCCGCACAAAATGAAACGTTAAACATGTCGGGAGCGATACGCGCTACTGTCAAACTTTTGCTGGTATTACTGGTTGCCAACTTTAGGGTTTCTAATTGTGGTGAAAGATGTTTTACATATAAGCGTAATATCTGAAATATCGACACGGTACGATTAAGGAGCCAGTAAGATATAGGCGACTTTCCCCTATTATAGGTAGTTACTATAAAGTCATCAATGTTTCTTAGCATTTAGTCGTAAATTTATTTCATTGTGTCATGCGGCTAAAACAGGTAGTTCAGGGTCTGTATTAGAGCTTTTCGTATTTCTTTGCCATGTACATTCCGCCTCAGAAGAATCGCCATTGTCACTTGAATCACACTATATTATCAACGAACTCTAAAGACATCCCTTTTTCGATATCGTAATACAACTATCAAACGGTGAATGTCACTGATATTTCCCTCAATGTTTACTGATAACTCCACCAAGACCACTTATATAATAATTTCATCACCTACGTCATTTGGGACACCCACATTCCCTTAGGAGGCCAATTTCAACGTAATTGGTTTTTCTGTAGCCCTTGTTATATTTATTAGAGGAGTTTATTTAGAGATTCATTAAAATTCTAATTAAGAATAGAATAGCCAACGTCGGTTTTGCAAGGTCGTTATACGCCGCCTGCTTTGGATGTCTGTGAATTTCAAGCAAGGGCAGGTGAATATTCAGGGAGTCGAGACTAGTACAGTATGTAAGTTATATCCATCATCACCCTGTATTTTATATAATATTATAATTATTACCTGGTACTTGTATTTCTTGTTAGCATGCTCGCTACGCTATGGAATCTTATCTCGCGCCTTGAAGTTCACATGTTAACATCTTCTGTATCAGCATATTATATGTCTACTGCATTGTACTAAATCCATGTGTGAGGAATCTTGTCACTTCTTGTCTAACCGTCCTGTTTTACGCATCGTCGTGACAAGGTTTCACAAAAGTCTTTTTGTACCGTTAACCAAAATAAAGTTTTTTTTAAAAACAAGTATTTCGATGGCAGTAATTTAATTTGTATCTGTGTGAGTACACTTACACGCAATTGAAGGAGTTTCTACGGGGAGTCCCAGAAGCCGTTATACTAGTTATCATAGTTATCTCATGTTTGCAAAAAAGTTGTCGATCACGCTCAAGTTACTGTTTTATATGGTTTCAAGGTATAATTCATGTATTATATAATGGGGGACATAATTGACGAACTTGTAGTCAGCTGCAGCCAAACCGACATATTTATTAACTGGGTGTCTGATAAATATGAAAAAAAAAATCAATCACACACAGTTTATTTACTGAATCAGGTTACTATTTATTCGTCTTTCAAGAAGTACATTTACAACAATCCATGATAACGTTTAACGGATAAATGCAACAAAATATCGCGTAGCAGTAAAATATCGTTTATGTCACTAAATTGTATGTAGCACCACATCATATATTCACCTGCTGGGAATACCTACATATGAGAACGTGCATTTTATTTTCTTTGTAATACGTTTGTTGTTTGTGGCAGTTCCAATCCAAACCCATCATCATTTTCCAAGTTTATACGACAATATCGATTTGGAGTAAAGGGCAAGAATGAACTATGGAGGAAAATATGACACCCTGCTGACTAAAAGGAAAAGGTATTTTAGTTTCGGAGGACGTGAAAATAATGGACGGGAGACACGGGACTGCGATCCTCGGTCGAGGCAGGCTTTTAACATTTTATGATACATTTTTTCGTCTGAAATGCTTTTTGAATTATTGAAATCTCCGGATGTCATATATTCTCATCTTTTTGGTTGTTCCGCTGGATGAAAGGATATTTTTCCAGAGCACCGCACTTCATATCATAACTTTGAAGATTTATATGGTTTTTTGCCACTACGGTAGTTTGTCAGCCTACGAACTTGGGGGGGGGAGGCATAGTAATGTTTTTACTGGCCAAAAACTCGTTTATTGACATCGTTGAGTGACAAGGAGCATTATCGCGATGAAGCATCCAGTTATTCTTGACCTGATGTAGGAAGTGTGAGACAACTTTAGCTCTTCATCGAAAATTTTAACTGTCAATGAGATCTAAACGCACAAGATCCTGGATCCTGCCGATGAAGGTCTTCCGCTTCGTGGCTCAACTTCAGTCGACCGTATCCCTTCTGAAAATGCCTTAAACCACCGAAAACTTGAGCTCTTGACAAAGCACTATCTGCATGGGCCAAAACTTGTTTGCAGACCTGTTCCTCAAAATTGATATCTCTCATTTCTAGAACACGATAGAAAAAACTGTTTTACAAAAAAAAATCGCTATGGTCAGCCAAATGACTTTAGAGTTTAGACTTTAGAGTCGAAGTTCAAAGAACTCAAGACTCATCGGGCAGTGTCACCGCTGTCGAAAATATGGCATGCGCATCTTACTGCACTGCACCACCTAAATGTCTAAAAAGTGCTTCTGACCACATAACCCCTATGCCCTCAACAAGAACAAGAGGAACGAAAGTGGCGCGAACTGTGGAGGGGGGCATCCAGCGAATAGCCGAACTTGCAGATTTGCCCCTAAGAAAAATCTGCAAGTGATAGCGCAAAGGCGCAATGTAAGTTACGCGGATGCAGCGAGGGATGCAACCCGGGCTGCCCCCTCTGTGGGATCTTCTGCGAACACGCAAAATGTGACCTGGCAACCGCGCTAAGGTCCTTACAGCAGATCATAGGTCCTCTGATTAGCGCAACACAGGCTTTGCAGGCGATCTTTCCTGCAAATGGCTAGGTACAATCGACGACAGCCTGCATTTATCAAAATTCTTTTTTGGAATTGTTTGGGTCTAAGGGACATTCCCAAAAGACGGGAATTTCATCAAGCTCTTGTGGACGAAAGTATAGATGTGGCCTTGCTGCAGGAAACATTACTTAATCCGGGAGATCGTCTAGCTTTCCCGAATTACGATGTTATCCGGGCTGATAGATTGACTGGACGGGGTGCGGCTTGGCAGTGCTAGTGAAACGCGGTATTGACTACCACAGAAGCACAAACGCTGACATGCAGAGCGTCGAAGCGGCTTCCGTGGTGGTCAATATGACGGGAGGTGTGCCGTTAAAAATCACATCGGTGTATGTCAGGTGTGGTAACAGGCTGCAAGAGGCGGATCTGGAAGTCCTTTTAGACTACTCGGGTCCACTTATTGTGGCAGGGGACTTCAACTGCAAACATCGAGCATGGCATTCCAGGTTGAATTCCACCAGTGGGATCCGACTGTACAACCATGTGATACGAAATGGCTACCTCATACATAGTACTGAGGAGCCGACGCACCACCCATTTAATCACCTTCAGGCACCTGATGTTCTTGATTTGGCATTAATCCAAAAACTGTAGCTACAGTATCACTCTCGAATCATGTATGACATCTCAAGCGATCATCTTCCCGTCGTTTGGAAGTGGCTAATGAGCAGATCTTGGGGATGAAATCCCTCCAAGGAAACGCATTGATTGGGAGCTATACAAGTCGCTCCTCAAAGAGTTCCCCAATATACCGATCATAGATGATGAGAACGGTATAGATGCGGCTCAAGCAGAGTGACAAGTTTTGTTCAGCAACTCTGCAGCGTGCAGCTGTACTTCCCGTGCAGCGACACGGCAGACCTTTTTCTGCCAGCAGACATTCGTCCAGAAAATTTCTGATAAAAGAGCTGCAATTAAGCAAGCGAAAAGGTCTTGTCATCCTGATGACATTCGCAGAGCGACAAATCTTGTTCATGAAGTAAGAAATGCTCTTCATGAATTCCGCAATGAGCAATGGAACGACTTTCTGGCGGGGATGCTTGACTCAAGCATTCCTCTCTGGAAGGTGGCGAAGTCGCTCAAAAACGGAAAGCGTGAACAAATCCCACACATTCACGGTCCTGGAGGCATTGTCTTCAGGACAGAGGAGAAGGTTGAAGGTTTTCGCGCCGATGCCATGGAAAGACAGTTCTCTCTGATAATGACCTCGACGAGGAGCAACACATCGTAAGATCTGTCAGGAGATATTTTAGGGCCAACGGCGTCAGTGACAGTCGCGCATTCGTTGGTGATTTTTCTTCATCAGAAGATTCTTCTTCAGAAGCTTCTTCAACCGAAGATTTGCTTAGCACATCGCGGTATCTCCTGAGATCCCGCATTGCACACCAGCAGAGATTCAAGTTCATATTAAAGACCTTAAAGTACGTAAAGCACATGGGGAGGATCAAATCACTAATAAGGCGCTGAAGCTGCTTTCGCGGAAGTCCTTAACTTATCTCGTGGCAATAGTCAATGCCATGCTAAGGATCCAGTACTTCCCATCCGCGTGGAGACCGCTGAAGTTATAATGATTCCAAAGAAGGGTGGGTTCAATATTTCCCCAGGATTATCGTCCCATTAGCCTGCTGTCAGCTGCGTCTAAGCTCGCTGAACAGGTGATTCTACGTCACCTTGAGAATTTCTCGTCAGATCACCATGTGATTCCTGACGTGCAATTCGGTTTTCGGTCTGAACATAGTACAGAGCTACAGGCGGTTAGGCTCTTGTATAAACTAATCCAAAAGGGCTTCCCTTTTTGGCTTCTAAAACTACTGAAATCCTTCCTTGAAGGTAGGAAATTTCGGATCAAAATTGACAATGTGCTGTCGACAACACGGCTGATTACAACCCTCAGGGTTCGGTCCTTGGACCTATCCTTTACTCACTGTACATCCATGACGTCTCTAGTCCCAGCAACTGTGAAGTCTATCTCTATGCTGACGATACTGCATTGGTGGCTCAGTCGTGGTCTGGTGACCTAGTCCATGACAGGCTGCAAAGTGCGGTGGAAGAAGTATTGGATTGGGCGGATCGGTGGCTAATTAAAATAAACCATTCGAAAACGCAGGCAATCTACTGTACAAAAAG